TAAAATGAACAGTTCAATGATCAGTTTACTGATATGTTTAAAGACTGCAAAGGCTGAAAAACCTTGAAGTCTGTATGAAATTGGAGGTAGTTTGAGGATTAAATTTTTATGCTTTTTAAGCTCAAAAAAGGGGGGGAGTCGTATTATACGTGAGATCGTATTATACATGAATAAATATTTTTAACAAGGAGCCCTGTCAAAGTCGATTTTCTGTCACCTTTGGGACAGATAATAAAGTTTATCTATTTATCTATCTAAAAACTAAGTACAAATACTTTGTTACTGTACTTAAGTAGAAATTTTGGTTATCTGTACTTCAGTAATTTATTTTTTAGCCTACTTTTTACTTCTACTTCTTACATTTTTTACACATTTATCTGTACTTTCTGCTACTTCAATTTTACAAAAGGTAAGAAGTAGAAAGTCATTTGTCCGTTTTCATTGTGTCTCGTTTTTGTTAAAGTAAAAATACTATCCTAATAAATTGTGCCTCCTGGATAGTGAATTTAATTATGGTTGGATGMAAAGTATAAATATGTACCATTCTGACACCTCATTAGTTTGTACACAATCCATCACAGCTGCACACCTTTAAAAAAATGTTTTTTGGAGAGGTCACCTCCCAATAAATGTCATTTTGGAAAATCTAACCACTTATTTTTACTCAATACTTTTAATACTTAAGTACATTTTTTGTCAGAAATTTACTTTTGATACTTAAGGATAAGTCCAAAAAAATCTGATATTTTAAGACTTTTACTTAAGTACTATTCTTAGAGCAGACTAATGTTTACCAACGTCATTTTATGATAAGATAAGATTTTACTCAAGTATCACTTAGACTTTGAGGTCACTCTCAACCACGTCGGCCCCACACAGTAAAAAATCATAAATTATTTGCATCATTGTTAAAGCTGCAGTGTTCAAAAGTAGCGACTTATATTCCGGAAGTTACCTTACACAAAATCCATTTAAATGGAGCAAAACAAGTGTTTTGTTTTGTTTTTGCAGTACTTCTGCTGCTTTTATCTACTATTTTGTTTCTGTTAGCTTTTAGCTAGTGCTCTGCCATGTTTAGGTTTAACAACTCAATTTTAGTTTCTTCAGCAAATTTATTCAAAAAATATTTGTCATGTTTCTAGAATTCCCACAGCAGATGGTGCAATTTATGTATTCATTTCCAACTTTTTGCTTGAATTGGAAGATGTATTTTTCTCTGAATGAATTTACAAACAGCCACATGAAAAAGAGGCTCATTTATGGGAGCTTTGAGCAGCTTTAAAATGACAAAAAGAAGTTGTTTTGTGATAAATGACTGACCTCTCCACACATATCTCATCTGCTGTTTTGTGCCGTTTCTGTGTGATTCTTTACTTTAAAGTCTGTTTAAAAGAAAGTCTGACTTTAAAGGGAAGGAAAAAAAAGTGGTAGCACATTAATTCAGTAGAGATTACTTTAATCTCTCAGGTTCTGATATCCTCTCTGTAATTCATTACACCTTTGGCCCGTCAGGGAAGGTTAAGAATTACTGATGTTGTTATCCAGCTGCTGGGTGACTCGGAAGATTTTTCCACGTTGTATTTTCACCTTTGAACGTTGTAAAATTRCATATTCTCACAGCAGCCGCTGTTGAGTAATTAAGAATGAAGGTCGTGTAAACAAGCAAAGCAGTTTCTTGTTGTGATGTATGCAGCTTACAGACCACAGGTCTCAGTCTGTGGGCCGATATGTGAAACTTTACTTCAAAAATCATCAAGAAGAACAAATGAAACTTAAAAAAAAAGTCGAGTCACCCTCACCAATTTTCTAAGCTTGTTTAAAACTGTTTTAATATGACCCTGGTGTGACATATAATATAAACAAATWAAAGCTGGGTATAATTCTATAAACCTTTTTGTCTAGCCAATAATCAGCTTTCTAATAAGACACATGGAGAAATCTATGTGAAATATTTGTGTTGGCTGGTCATTATTTTGACTGCACAGGGAATAGATATCAAATATTCAAATATAAATACCTTCTATATAAGTAAAACCTTATCTGAACCAATGCCCTGCCAATAAACCAACTGATGAGTTCATTTCTCTGACGATGTTTTGGACAATTATTAACCAGTTTTTATGCTTTATATGGAGTTGGCTTTTTGCAGACACTTTGTTTTTTCACCTTGTTAGACAAGGGAGGTGTCTTGTGTTGCCTTGTTTGCAGAGGTTTTGTTTTGCAGAGAGTTGTGGGCTTTTTCTTTTATTCTTTTACACTACATAAATTTTATAAATTTCCGTAAATTCCATAAGTGGCGTGAGGGTGACCGCGATTATTTTATGAAGCCAAAAGTAGACACACAGAATAAATTGCGCCAGCTTGCATAGAGGAAGTGTGAAGGGATGTTTAAAAACGTTATTAATTTCTTTAAAAACTAAATCAATTCTAAATACAATTAAAAAAAGAAAAATACACAAATCACAAATAAAATCAAATGAAAGGCAGCAGGGACAAGAAAAAAATCTCATGTTACAGTTTCAGCTGTTGTTGTGTGTTGTTTTCACAAACTCCAGTCTCGGGGTCCGATTTATAAAGCTTTCTTACGCACAAAATGGGGCCAGAAACATGYGTACGACACTTTTCACACAAAGGTTGCGATTTATAAAACCCAAACTCATGAAAATGTGCGGACCCTCACGCCAGCTCTGACCCACCCAGGTGAAAAAATATTATACCAAGTATACTAAATCTAAGTATACTTTAGTATACTTGAAGCTGCACTAATCATCAGTATACTTAAAGAGTGCCATTTTGGAACAACTAATTGAATACTAAATATTCTTTAGTTGTATTTAAGTTGTACAAAAGCACAATTTTAAGTGTATTAAGTATACTTTTAAAAACTAAA